TGTACCCATTTCTCATCCATAACTCCTCCTATACCATTGATTATAATTTAATGATACTTTCACAGATTCTTTTTGACATAATGTCATTGTACATCTCCTATTTTACTTTCGATCTGATACTTATTTCGGGTCTACCCGAATTTTTTTTAATTATAAGTATAAGAGGAGTTGTGGGTAAGAGATGGGTAGCCTTCAATATTATAGAAAGAATGCCATAATAATCATATAAGATGTGAGGTGGACAAAGATGAAATCGTTAAATTTTTTTCAGTGGAATAAGAGGAGTCGTGGATAAAAGATAGATATATCAAAACGTTACAGACAGACGGACGAACGGAAAGACGGATCCTCCGCTTTTCAAGCAGGGATCAAAAATACACTTTTCATGCGCAATTAATATACACTCAGGGGTGGCACTAATGCTCTGTTTAGTAACAATTTCATAGTAATTTCATAGCAATCTTAAAACGGTCGGCCGAAAACAACCTTAATTGATGTATCGGAACATAGTAATCCATTGCAACTAATTTAATTGAGAAAATTTGATTGTTTAAGCATTTGTCAGTAATATGCAGTGTATATTTATAACATATCTAACAGAGATTACTAAGCGAAAGACGCGTGGCTGATGTATGGATTTTAATTGGTGAATACCTTAAATCCCCCCCCCCCTTTGGATATCAATTCTTTAGAAATATTTGGAGATAACGAACAGTAATTAAGCTCAGAAATTTATCAAACAAATAAAATTTTGAAGCAAATGAAACACGGACATCTAATATATCAGAGGTGGGATCAGCTGCAAGGAAAGATTGAGTAAATTGAGTATAAACTTGTTCTGATACTACAGTGTATTGATTTTTTCAAAAAAAAGTTATAGAAATATTAAATAAATTATAAAATTGTGATCATTATGACAAAGACAAAGACATGTTTTTTAGAATTTTTTAAACAATCCTATTTCAAATATATTTCATTTGATCGGGCATGTTTAGGGGTCAGTCTAAAAGTAATGTCATAGCTGCTATAAAATGATATGTTATCAGCAAAATTTGACAAATGCATGTTCTTCTGTCTTAATTTTTGCCCAAAAATTCCATCTAATTACATACTTTGAAAAAAGAAATAGAATAAAAATAAAGTAAGCTTTGTCTATCCTGACACTGCTTAATTTTTTTCATTTTCAGTTCCTCCGCATATAGCTATTGAACACCTCACATCACTCTCTACCATCGGCTCATACATTCACCTCTGTCGTTGGCTCGCGTATATCACAGTGATAAACACAAGAAATAGTGCGTTTGTTTTAATTCATTATAATTTAATTTCTATGGTTATGTCTGAGTTTTCAGGTAGATATTTACTAAATAAATCCAGAACTGCTATCTTAATTTGAAAAAATCTTGCAAATATCACGTTTTATACGTTATGTCAAAAATCTTGACGTGAGCCCATTGCAGAGGTGTCTGAGAGAGAAACGAACGACAACTCTGCATGGGAGATTGACCTCACGTGCTACTAATTATATACTTTGAAAAAAAAATAGAATAAAAATGAAGTAAGCTTTGTCTATCCTGACACGACAAAAAATGTTTTCGACGTCGTTTGACGTTACTTTTTGGAATTCATTTTTAGTTCATCCGCATATAGCTATTGAAACCCTCGCGTGCTTCGGATTTATATTCTTTACCGCCATTTTGCTTTAATTCGTCTTGTTTTAAGGTTTAATATTATAATCCTTCAAACTTTGTATGAATATTATTTTTTAACTTTTTGGTTTTTTTTAATAGACCCTTTTTTCATATACATTGTTAAAAAATTTAAAAAAACCTTATTTGTGGAAATCTTATGGATCATCAGATTCAAAATGAAAGTCGAAGAGGCACGTCAAAACTTCCATTTCTTTGCCGTTAGACGATAGAAGAGACTCATTGTTTTGCTCATTTTAATACTTTTCAAAAGTATTGAATATGTCTTGCTGAAATTTTAGTACAAATGTCAATATAAGTTGAGATACATATATGTAAAACCTTGATTATTAAAGATTTGATAGCAATCGTGACGTTTCTTTTGGATTAACCTTCGTACCAGTCGAGGAAACATATATAACAGAGTGGATCGTTCGTCTGCATCAATCTACAAACTGTGTGACTTAGCTTTCCTTAACTCGTTTAAACGTTTTTAAGTAAAGGGAATGATTTTTCTTTAAAAATAGGTATTTATATGTTCAAGAGGTAGCTTCAAGAAGTAGCCAGGTGCTTGATGTATTTCAAATTGAATTTAGACTTTTATCATATCCCCGCTTGAAAAGTAAGAGGGTAAATAGTGATCGGGATGTCAGTCCGTCTGTCTGTTGCGCTTCGAAGTACCTGTCTCTTATTCGCAACTCCTCTTTTACCACCGATTGAAATTTAATAAGACTTTCACAGAATCTTGTAACATAGTGTCATTGGGCACCCCCTATTTTACTTTTTGATCGGACACAGATTTTGGGTTTCCCAGAGCAAAACAAAAGCAATTCTTTCTATAATATTCATATGTACCCATTTCTCATCCATAACTCCTCCTATACCATTGATTATAATTTAATGATACTTTCACAGATTCTTTTTGACATAATGTCATTGTACATCTCCTATGTTACTTTCGATCTGATACTTATTTCGGGTCTACCCGAATTTTTTTTAATTATAAGTTGGTAAGAATAAATTCTACAAAATCTACACCTTTTTCTGCTTTAGACAGAGAACATTCTCATTCTATTCCAATGTTTTACAGAAATCAACAAATCAACACGCCCCGTGACATCTTGAAATAAGACAATTATATTTATTATTTTTGGACATTGGTGAGAAAGCTTCACTCGTGGGATCTGGCTTTTAGATTATAGTGATACTTGATTATATAAAATAGTTTTGTTACAAACATAAATTGCTTGTAAGCTTGTAAAATATTTATCTCTTAATTTTTTTTAATTTAAAAATGAAGCGTAACTAGGTTGTAATTTTCCACAGGGAGGGAACTATTGAAATTTTATCTTAAATACAGCCAGTTTAGAGAAATGAGTTATAACATGTGCCTTTGATAACGATTGCTAAGATTATCTTTTATCGATATCTTTCGAGTCTTTTTGAAAAATTGTTTAAAGCATGAGCAAATGCATAACAACTGCACGTAGGTAAGTTAACACACGTTTGCAAGTGCAAACGCTTAGAAATCTACTAAAATATAACATAGCTTTATTAAAATCTATTGATAAACAGAATTATAAGAAATATTTATATACTTGTGTAAACATATATAGAATATATTTTGTTTAACTCAATGCAGTGCTATTCAGATGCGAAGATGGTTAATCTTTCAAATAATATAAAAGACAAAAGACAAATCACTCACAAATAAACAAGCCGTATTTGAAATATTTTTAGCTTTTAAAAGTCAATATCTCCCGGTTGTACTGAAATGTTTTGAAAATCAAATAAGTTTACTTCATTTCGAATACGGATACACACTGAAGGAATCTTCTTTATATTCATTTTTTGCAGTGTATATATATTTATTTGTTTCCCTGAAATATACTCTAAATTAAAACAAAGATTACTAATAATTAAGAATATTTATGGTATTATTTTGCTACCTTTATCAAAAATATTTATTGGAAACGTTGACTCATCACATTATCTATTACGAGCAAAACTTTTAGAGAGGTGGTATGCTACGAATTTTTTAATACTTTGTTTTACACACTTAAAATGTTAGTTGTAAAATAATGTAAAGAAGAATTATTTGTAGTGAACAAATTAATGAAAATCTTTTATAAAAGACTTTTTAGTTTTCACCCTTTTGTTTTTTATATTTACGTACCTCAATTAACGAGGCCCGATCTAGTTGAAAATTACGAAAACGGAATGATAAAAAAATTTAATTCTTGGAAATATATTTGTATGTTTTATGCTTAGAAAAATTAGAATGAAATTTTGTTACCTTGCCTTTATTGTAGTCAAATGGGGACACTGTCAAGATATGGACCATTTGTCGTGTTTTTATACACAATTACATACTAAAACTCTTCAATAAACAAAGAAATTAAATAATTTACAAATTTAAAAAAAATACATGCTGAAAATCTTTGTTTTTCACATATTTCAGGCAATTCTCATTCTTCTTTTAAAATATGAAAAGAAAATTGGAGGTAGCCTTTATTGCAGTGAAAAGGGAGTATGTCAAAACACAAAATTTGGATTTATTCTATCCAACTAGGTATTTTATAGGTCGCAATGGGTTTACATAATACCAACAAACGATTGCAATACTGTATTAGTTTCTAAAAAATTAAATAATTCTTACATAATTTTCTCGCCTGCTTTATTTTTCTCTTAACACGCGACGTTGTTTTACACGGAGGGGGTAAAAGCGACAAAATTACGATTTTTACTAATATCATGTAATATATAGAAAAATAAAATATTTTGGGGGTTGCATTTAAGTGATTAATTGACTTATTTTATTTTTAAAACTGAAGATAATCTATGCATTTTAAGTCCGCAATAAAAAGAGTGTGTATAAACATGTTCATAGAGAAAGACTAAAATCGTTTACTTTTCGTTGCAGTGTTTGTTTTTTTTTAACTCACAAATTGAAAAAAAACAAGATAAAATTTATGATTCTGTACCACAAAATTGATCCCTCAAAATTAATTAGGTTCCAAAGTTGTTTATTATTTAAATATTTTATAAAAGAGCTTTCAATGCACAGTTATTTTAAGCAAGATCAGCGAAACATTTTTTTGACGTCATTTTAATTGTACGTTATTGTGTTCAATTGTGACGGCAGTCAAGGGTATTGTGACGTGTCAAAGTTAAAGTAACCTAAGTGCCATTCTAACCATGTTTTTTTAACAAAATTATTTTATCTTTTTTATCATTTAGCATTTCAAAGGATAATCATAGATTATAACGAATCTAATAAATTTACATTTGTATATATACTTTTTATTCCAGAATGTCGTTTTTCAAGTCCATCAGACAAAAAATGTGTCGATGGCGACAAAAGTACAAGAAACATCTGATAGTCATCCTTGGGATATACTGTGTGTACTACATCCATACTATTTATAACCGGGAAGTGGAGTACATCTTTGTAAACGAAAACACCGAGAAGAAATGTGAATTACCTAATTTAGACGCTCATGACAATTCCGTCATGAAGTTTTTTCATCGTTTAAATCCTATTCAGTGCGATAAATCGACGGATCTTGTGTTTGTTGATTCATTAGGTTATTTGCAAGTGAACAATACTGCTGTGTATGAAGCTGGACACGCATTTGTGTCTTGCAGTTACTCAGTTATAAACCGCAAAGGCGATTATAATGTAGAAAAGGAACCGGAAGTGCGGTTTTTAAAGCCTGTGTATGTTCATGCTGATTTTTTCCTCGTAAAGTGTAAAACTGATAAAAATGCGATAGCATATGAAAAATTACATCACAGTATTGATTACAAATCCAGAAGGCGGCAGTTTAATTTTCTAAACGAATCGAATGAACAATTAAATGTATACATTTTTGGATTAGATTCACTTTCTAGATTAGCTGCAGAAAGAACAATTCCACAAACTCTTCGATATGTTGAGCAAAATCTAGGAGGGTACATCATGAAAGGGCAAACAAAAGTTGGAGTGAATACTTTCCCAAACTTGGTTAGCCTTCTTACAGGGAAAGTGTGTTATTCAAAAGAATTGCCCTCATATGAAGAAATATTAGATCCTTTTCCGTTTATATGGAAAAATTTTAGTGCTTCAGGTTATGCTACCCTCCTCGCCGAAGATTCTCCTGGAATGGGTTCATTTACTTACTGGAAGGGGTTCAAAGAGCAGCCTTGCCTACACTACATGAGACCATATTATCTTGCTATGAAAAAATTTGGCTTGCCCGATGTTAATAGTGGTTTATTGGAGTGGGAAAATAGCAATATACGTTTTCTGCATAGATCAGCTTTGTGTATAGGAAATACACCGAAGCATAAAATTTTAATGAATTATTACAGACAATTCATAGAAATGTATGGTAATACAAGAAAATTTGCATTGAGTTGGCTAACTGATCTAACTCACGAATATGATAATATAGTTCAGCTGGCTGATAATGATTTCAAGTTATTCTTTAAATGGATGAAGGAATCAGGAAAATTGTCCAATTCCACACTTATACTGATGAGTGATCATGGTATAATGCAAAATAAAATAAAAAACACAATCGCTGGAAGGACAGAAAATCGTATGCCTTTATTTGCCATTGTTATACCACCACACATAAAATCAAAGTACCCTCATCTTCACAGAAACCTCAAGACAAATACTAAGCGATTGACAACTGTATTTGATGCTCACGAAACATTAGTAGACATCTTAGAAAGTAACTTTGAGCGCAGTAAAGAGTCCGTGGAGAAACTAAAAAAGCTTCCCCGGGGCATAAGCCTGTTTACGGAAATCCCAGAAAGACGATCCTGCAATGATGCAGAAATTCCAGGAGACTACTGTGTGTGTAATTCCTACGAACCAATAAACAACGATGACAAAATTTCAAAAGAATTAGCAGAGTTTTTGGTTTCTTATATTAACAAAGATTTGACTAAACATAAGAAAAAATGTGCCAAACTCAAACTTTCAAAGATAAAAGACACGTATTTGGTAAAATCCAATTTACAGCGCCGTGAAGAGAGGGAGGAATTTTCTATACGAAATTTATTTTTTCAACCCGATCTGGGAGGAAAAACCTACCTCAGTGTGATTGAGACTGTACCTGGATACGCACTATTTGAGGCAACAATTAGATCACATGACTCATTTGACGTCATTGGAAGAGTAAACCGAGCTAACAAATATGGCAACCAATCGTCATGTATTCACGATAAACTCGCCGAACCTTTCTGTTATTGCAATAAAGCATCAAGAACAGGCTTGATTTAAGAGTTCAGTAGAAACTAGTGTCACTAAAGAAATTTGGATTTTAAGGAACCATGGAAGTTTTATGGTTCTAAAATTTACGACTTGGTTGAATATGTTAATTTTAAAGGAAAAGAGTATTTTTCCAATATTCATTGCCATTTAATTTTTTATTATGTCATTTTAATTCCCCTTAAAAAGCTTTTAAAGCAAGGGCTTCAAACATGTCTTATGATTTCCTTTCTGTTCAAGATATCAAATGTATGCACAAACGCCATAAAGGGTTTATTATTGGAACCTTTTATCTTGAATTTGCACTTAAGAAATTTGGAGATTTTCTGTAAAGGAAGTCAAAATACCCGGTTCCTAAGTTATATTTCCTGTACCTGACAACGCTGTTACAAATATAGGTAAGCATAAAGAAATAAAGGAAATTTTGAAGATAGAAAAGTGTACAAAGTTTAGCCATGGTCCTTTTGCTAAATCTCATTGTCACTGTTAGGTTTTTTCAAATTCCAAATTTGCATGGAAACATTCAAAGTAAGACGTCATAATTTGATATACGTCATGGAAAGAGTTATTCGGTGTCTTTTTCATGCATTTCCTATAGAGGAGTATATAGAGAAATTTTTATCATGGATACGGAGATTTAAGACAAATTAATCATTAAAAAAGATTAACAGGGAATACTCTAAAGAATTGCATAAGTTCTTGAACTATCCTTGTAAGCTGTACCCTTTACTTAAGTGGCAACCCTAGCTCTAAGCTTGTTTCCATATTTATTTGCAATGCATTGGAAAACAAATATATATATATGCGTTTGTATTTGTACATGGCTTGTGTTTTACTTTATATTCAATTCAGAAAACTCGAGTTTTGATTTTTGATTTCACTAATAAATCAGTATCTATAATTTCTTTACGTTGGAAACAATTTTGAAAGGTTTAACATTATCCTTTACACTATCGAAACAATTATAAATTTAGAAGTTGTATTTTTATCTACAGAGTATACGTATACCTTTAAATAAAAAAAAAACAGATAATTTTATAAACACCCTAACTTCCAGTACAGAATACTTGTCAACTCAATTACCCTATTTGTCAAAAGAACTATATAACAACCTATTGTTTGTTTTGACAAGGAAATAATATATAGCTTTTATGGAAATATCAATCGAAATCTGATAAAGAATATTGTTTTCAAGTGACACACAGCAATGTACGTCTGTATATACGAGTAATTCTCTAATCAGAGCAACAATGCCTTCTCTTTTTAAAATTAATTGCATCTGTCGAATATTGAGCATAAAATATGACATATATTAACGCTTAATAAAACGAATTTTTTCCTCCTCTTTTCAATAATGCTTCATGGATTTTTTAAATAAAAAAAAAAAAAATTAGATGAATTAATTTTTCCCGCTTTCCTCAAGTAGGTTGATTTTCTGTTTTTTTATGAAATATAGAGAGAACAAAAAGTATTCAAGCTTATTAAACAATAAAAATCTGGAGCAGAGAAAAACATGGACCTCAAAAATTATCGTAGGCGGGATCAAGTGCCATGTAAAATATGTGCCGGTATTTATGACACGAATGTACTCACTGGGTGTTGAGTTTATTTTCTGAAATTATAATCCTTGACTTGTTATCAAAGCTTAATATCACGTTAAATTAACTGATTGGGGTGATTAAATCCCTCTTTTGGTCACTATAGTTCTATGTTAAGAAGATTGGAAGAGGATGGATTGATTGTATGTTCTTTTACCTCCAATTCGAGAACTTTTCACTCATATAGAGACATAATCATCTACTTCTTCAATTTTCAATTTTCAGGGCTTCAATTTTTTACTTTACTCGGCATTCAGAGCCTTTGAATAGTGAGGGATCTTTATCTTGCCAACGCCTGCCGTGACAAAGGGCCTAGATGTTTAAGGTCTCGTCCGAAGAATCTGCACTTTTCACTTCAAAGTGCAAAACACATTGCGAAGGAACTGTTCCTACATATTTTATATCAAATTAGACCAGTCGCGGCCGAAATTTAAACTCACGACCACGAGAGCTCTACCGACTGAGCTACCGTTACGGTTTGGAAGAGGAAGAACCAGGATGGAGGTCTCGAAACAACAATAGCAAATGAATGAGTATCCGCTAGCTCTTTAAGTGGGAAAGTCCAACTGCAGAAATACTTGTCGTAAATGCAGAGGAAGGTAACCATGAATCGGTGGTAGATTTTTTTTCTTCTGATTTCTGTGCAGATCGCTTCTGATTTCTGTGCAGATCGCTGACAAATGCTTCCTTTAGAAGAAGGTCACTGTATTGATTGTAATAAGAGTGTTGGGTACAAACAAATAAGTAGATGCATTAATGGGAAATATAAACTTCTATTTATAGTGAATGTAAATTATGAAATCCCACAAGGGATTATAAATTTTCTCAAAATATGATGTTAAAAATTATCACGTTGTGTTGTAACTCTTTTGTTTTTATCACTTTATATAGGATGCTTCTGGGAACTGTTTATAAGATTTAACTATATGGTTAAACTTATTTTTTTACTTAAATAAGTAAAGATCTATTTACAAACCTTATAATATTTGAAACTTGTATCGAGTTTGTATCAAGTAGCGCTAAAGGAATTTGCAAACACCATTTGGAATTGTTCAGTGCGCAGTATTTTCACCAACTAGTAGTGATGATTTCGCTACACATGAAAAATTGCAGCTTTTTTGCTCTTGGATACCCAAGTGCAGACAATATACATTGTTTTCTCATTTATATATCTTTTTCTGTTTGTTTGTAACGTAATATTCTAATATTCAAATATCAAGCATGCATCATTTTGATTATATGAAAGGTATTCCTTTTTCTTTGGTATATAAGTTAAAAAAGATTACGATGGAAACGGGGTGCTTACTAGAGTTTTGTTCCTATACGTTGCTTCTGAATATACGTGCCATTGGAAATTCTTTAGTTGCCAATGCAGATTTAATTAACTACTTAGCATTCAGTCGTACAAAAATGATAAACATTGGGCAATTAGGTTATCTATCCCGCATATAATTCAGACTGAAATGAACACAAGACCCTGAGGAAGTTTTCATTGAGGTAATACTTATATCTACATGTATATACTTAAGCTAATATTTTCTTTAATGAAATAATAATATAAAAATAAAAATATATATAAATAAAATAGATTTTAAAAAATTCATGTAAAAAATTCATTTAAAAAAAAAATCTGAGAATTAAGTCAATTTCTGATGTCAAAAATTGTCTTTTTGAAAACTTCATTTTCTGATACTAGTATCAGAAAATTATTTCCTGATGAAAAAAAATCGAAGTCTTTACATTAATGTTATTAAAGAACGTTTGGGCAAAAAAATACTCCAGAGTTAACAAAAACACTCAACGTTTGCCGACAAAATCAAATCTCACTAGAGGGGATAGAACAGATTTTATCTTTAAGCCCATCTATCATGGCCATACATAACTTTGCACTGCATTGCATTTTACTCTTTGATAACATGTAGGCGTGCTTTCGAAAGTAAACGCTAATATATTGATTTATTGAAAAGAACCCTGCAATTACATCGATTTTATTTTAGAAAAAGTATCTTTGAGCAAATGTTCAAAGAAACACTTTCATTAATTTGTCAAGTTTTGGTCATGTCTATCGTTCCTGGGGAAAAAGGGAAGTGCAATATTTCTGTGTGCGCCATTAATTTATGAATAAACAACTTTTAAAAATGGCACTGCACCTGTCTGTTTGGGTGACATATCACTGTGTAATTTGTTGAGTACGTTATGCAGGGCATCAACAATACAAGTAGTTAGAAATTAACGTGGGATAATTTGCATACCGGGCAAAGATTTATCATTGGGGGGGGGGGGGGGGGTGTTATCCCATGTTTCCAACTTTCACTGATGTTCCTGAACATATACCCAACAAATAAGACAATGTTTCCGTATATTAACATATTTACGATAATTAAAATTGTAAATAATCAATTTTAAAGATTTAAAGTACAAAGGGCCTCACATGTAAATTGCTATAGTTCCCGCCCACTGACGTCAGACACAAGACAGCCGCAAAAGATTGACCTGCAAATAAGGTCCTACCTTTCGTCTTGAGAAATTAACATTATGATGTAATTATAAAGAAAATAAACTCATCTAACTTTCACAAAGTTATCACATATAAAACAATTACAAATGTTAATATTTTCTAATCTTTCCATTTTTACTTGTTTTCTCTGTGATAACTCTTCGAAGTTGAGTTGATTTCTTGATTATTCTACAGGAATGCAAATTTCGCCAAGCAATAGGCCAGAAAATAAGGAGGCCTAATGTGCATGTAAATCTCGTGCGTCTGCCTTAGTGTCTGACGCTAAAGATGTCTTATATGTCTTATATGCATGTAAACCTCGTGCATCTGTCTTTGTGTCTGACGTCATTGGGCGGGGACTATTGAAATTGACATGATAAGCCTGATAGGATGTAATTTAAATCTAGTAGTCTAAACTCTAAATTTACAATTTTATTTCACAATAAATTGAAAATATGAAGTGACGCCCTGACATACTCTACTAACTAGACAGTGATTCCTTGAGTAGAGCTCGTGCTTCATTCTTTGTGTATGACGTCAGTGGGCGGGTACCATTGAAATTGACATGGGAGGCCTCGTGTAATTTAAATCTATTAGACAACGTGTTTATTTAAAGATCAAATTTCAACTTAATTTCAGAACAAAATTGAAATGTAAAAAATCGCTGTCTAGTTTGTTGGTTATGCAAGAGACATCAGCGATAGTTGGAAACACGGGATAATTTATGTGTAATGTGATTCCTTAAAGACCCAATTCTTTTACTTATCTTAGAAAATCGTCCTTTTTTAAGGTATACCTTTACTCAGATGACTAAAATTTCCACTGATAAGAATGAAAAACCACCTATTGCACATTGTACACTTAAATTTTTTGTGTTAAATTTCAATTTCAAATAACTAGGTCAATGACCTACTTTTCATGCTAGTGGCCCCTGAGTATTTCTCGGGAAATACCAAAATTTTTCACACTTTGATCAATTTTTTATTCACTCAAAAATATAACAAGCAACAAAACTCTTTAAATAATGAAATATTACAGCAATGGAACAGCGTTGCTTCATATAAAGACACGATTAGAGTTTGGGTCATAACCTTGATAATTATTACAGTCCGAATTTCCTCTGTCATATTTATATTTTTTCCCATTTTTAATCGAATATTTAAAAAATCTGAATGTGGGAACTCTTGATTATTTATAGCCTCATGTTATTTTTTGTTGCCCGTATTCTCATGGTATTACCATTATATGGGGTCAATGATCAAATTATTGAGATACGATTGTCTGGAATGGTTTTTGTTCATATTTTTGAATTTATCTATTTCATAGCAGTCAATTATTTGAAATAATTTATGAGCTTCAACACATATTTGCAAAGTGATGTCTGAAAATACATGCAACCTTTATATTTTGATTAATATCGCAAGAAATAATTTTTTTTTGACAAAAATGAAAAATCCAAAATTTAGTCCGAATTTCCTCTGCATAACCATACACTGACTTTTGTTCCCGTATATTTTCTTCAAATAATAAAATATTTAAATTTATAAATTGATATTGAGTTAAAACTTAGTTATTTCATCTATTTAGAACAATTTTCGATTTCACATATTATACTTTATAAAATTTCATTTCTGCTTTCTGAAACCTGGGTAAAGGTCACCCTTAACCCGGAATAAAAAATTAAAGTACTCTTCGAGTATCTTTATTTATAGTTGTCAACAGACAGAACAGATACAATGTAGCTATTTTTTGCAGTAAACATTATCTACTTTAGGAATATTTGTAGCTATTTTTGTGTGTAAAGGGGCATGACATGTAATGATTACAATTCGCTTTAAGTCCATAATTTCTCTGATCATTCATAAAAATTGCTTTGAAACTATTTTCCGGAAGAAATGATAAATATTATTGCACATTCTTCAGCATACTTTATTGAGCAAACTTTGACAAAAATGGCCCGCTAGTTAGACTCTTTTTTATGAACGACCATATTTTTTTGTGAGAGTTACCTCTCTTGTCTGGAGGTTGATAAACATTAAGCCTCGAGAGCTTGCACATTATCAGATATAAGCCAGCAGCTTTATGCAGGTTCTAAAGAGAAAATGTTCAAGTATGCACGCAATAACTAATGCATCATGCTAAAAAGATGAGATGAAAGATAATTTAATATACAATGTAGGAGGTGTCAGAAATATTCATTGACTCTGGAAGATTGATTAATGCATGTGACATTTTTGAAAAGCACACGTAATGCATAATTGTTTGCTTACAGATTCTGCTTAATTGATTTGTATTGTGTTACACTTCATCATCGTCGTCGGATACCCACGGGTAATTTCGTCCTTTATACTCTTCACTCTAGACGAAATCACCCGTAAATATCTAACGATGCATGTCATTTATATCCTTCTTTCTCTCCAAATATCGATGCATTTCTCAAAACAAATTGTGCAGATCATGTTTTGTTTTATCTTTTCCTTGTGAGACGATTTCATACAAAAACCTGATAACGCATATTTTTGATAAGTTAAGTTAATGCACTATTGTTACCTTACGGTGAAGCACAGTGTATTTTTGTCTATTTAATGTGGTCATTCCGAATGGCCAAAGTTTAATTATCTTTAGATACCTGGACTTATCTTGACAAACACATGCTTCCCCCCTTGCTGATAAATGGGGTACATACATAACACAGCAACTAAGGTAAGTAGTTTACTAGTAAGAATTTCCGACGATAATCATATTTTGAATTGTAATGAAAATCAATGTTAAGTGATTTTTCTTGTGGAGTACCAGCAGATGTCAGCTTATTTCTTAAAGGTAGGACATGCATTTTGAACATTCAAAATAAGTATCCAAGTATAACATTTATGAAAATTAATATGCAACAAACGATCTATTATTATACATGTAGCTTTTGACGTTTTGTAATTTTTAATTAATTATCGAATCGATTAGTGAGAGTTATTTATATCAAAATAAATTCAACTTTATATGTAGGTCATAAATAATAAAGAAATACTAGTAGATTGTAGCATCATAAGTTGTTGATTTATTTCATGTGTTAGAAAAATTATTTCAGCATTGTACATGTATATTGTACACTTATCTTAATAGGTCGTACGCTCGCTTATTCACTATATCGACCACCGAACAGTGAACCAACGAAGTTTATCAATGACAGAGCCGCATTAGATAATGATAAACAAGTTTAAACAATCATACGCATAAATGTTTAGTTAATAAATATTTTAAAATTTAAATTTTTGACATTCATGATTGTAAATTATAACAAAAGTTTCAGCATTTTAAAGATACAAGTAGTTACATGAATTGGATATGTATTGATACTATAAATTAAATATGCTTACATGTAGTTTAAAAAAAAACAAAGATAAAACGATGTATAACCATTTAAGATTGGAAATCGATGACTGCATAAATACATCGACTAAAATGGGTTATCAGATCGTTAGGATGGGTTGAATATTATCCTTACTCTGCGTATTGTGTTTAAAGTCAAGCGGTGTAATTATTATTAATCAGAATGCAGAAGTAATTGGCTTGACTAACAAGGTCAACCAAGGTAAAAATGTCATAGCCTCCTTATAGGACAGCTAACGCCAGTCGCATACCAGATGTTATGGTTGAATAAGAAGTTATTTTTACCATTTGGAATTATGGAATTTTATTTTTATTTGGTAGATCTCTAAAGAGAAAAATAATAAATGATGCTTGCATTAAGTAGGTCTTTATCCAGCCCTTAGAAATTTTGATCTCTGTTTCTCTCTCTCTTATTAAAAGTACACTATATATATTTTTACTATATAAAAAGTAAGTAAACCCCCCCTCTCTCTCTCTCTCGTACACACACACATCTTATGCATAAGTGCTTATGCACTGTTACGTGTTGAATAGCATTAGCTTGTTCATGTTGTTGCTTTATAAATTGATTTTGAATAAGATCGAAACAAGATTAACTTAAAGTACTCGACCTTGTTTGCATTAAACATGTATGAAATATTAGTGATTAGAGAAAATCGACTTCAGAATATATATGATCCTGTGCTGAACAAATTAATGAATTATTTTAATAATTGAACATTTAGCTTTGTACAGTGTTTAAAGAGAAAATTTATAAAATCTATTTCTTAAATTATCAAATCCAGATTAGTGAATCTTTCAATAAATAATTGTAGATTTTTTTCATTTGACGAAGTTACGGGTTTCTCACGAAGCGGTTTTATATGCTAGCGATAAAGTATCCAGTTTACTTCTGTGTTCATGAACAAGTACAATGGGTTTAAAAAACACAGCAAAAAAGAGACTGGTCAAAACAAGTACCGGTGTACCCCTATCTTCTATCTCGGGTTATAAATGTACTTAAAATGGACTTTCTTGAGATGCATTGCCATAAAAATTACTCAAATGGACTTTCTTGAAATGCATTCTTTTTTGAATGAATTTCATTATTATTCATACCACGAAATGTTCAGTGGTTAATGAAATAATGTTCGCCTTGAAGAAGATATAGATGGAATTGTTCAGTGTTTGAAAAAAATGTATGCCTTGAAAAAGATTTGGATATGGATGTGAATTTCGTTTTGTAAGGTAAAAGCGCCCCGCAACCTTTTCCCCAAATCATTGAAATTGACTAAGGCTTTTTTTAAAAAAAAAAGTTCCTGTGTATAATTGAATTGATTCGTAAGATCGATTGTATTTCAAGTTTTTTCCTTATCTTTTCTTTCACGTTTAACATAACTTCAATTTTATTTGTTGTGTTGCGTCAGGAATAACAGTCTTAGGCTTAGGTAACGTTCAATCTATAAAATGTCAGTCAGCAACTATTATGTAATTTGCTTTACCTGATTTATTTATTAAATAAATAAGCTTTTATATCAATTCTGAAAGTTAATTCGGAGAGTTAAAGTTTTAAATTATCAATTACCAATTTAAATTCAGGTATCTTTTTAAAAAATGTTTAAGGCTCATATTCCACAAATAGTACAAGCTAGAAATTTATGAAAAATGTGTGTGTGTGTGAGGGTGTGTGTGTGTGTTGGGGGGGGGGGGGGGGGGGGGATTTGTCTGATCCTTCTCCCAAAATAATCGATATTCAAGATGTTTGCTACATATGTAAATCGAAAACAATTTTGAAAAGAACTACAATTAAATGATTAATTACACTTCTTATATTTCAGACAATTATTAAAATTAAAGGCCTAATGCAGAAAAACTCATAAAGAAATGTCATCCCAATGCAAATGCGCGTGCATGTTATTTTGATCGCGGTGTGGGGAAAACAAGTGCGAATGAAAGTTCTTTCCTTGTTAGTGTGAGTGCCTGGAGTTAATGTACTTATATGTATTAAAATTATACGTTTGTGAAATCTAGATGCTAAAAATAGTTGAATGTCGCTGTCTAACAATTAAGAATACAGAATGGCAGTCATTGTGTAGTACTTTTGTTTCTAATAGGAGGTGATCTCGTAGAAGAACTAGAATTGATGAATTCATGTAAGTGGCTATTTTTCATTTTTAATGAAAGATATTGAACAATTAACTTCGTTGATTGAAAATAGACAACTAAAGCTTGTTTCACTTTTGATACATGTACATCTTTACGTGTATCAGTTGTCACATATCTATCTGAAATTAACACGTTTTCTCTTTAATTGTCAGAGTAACAAATTAATGCATTTATTTGTTATTAAATTTCTCTCGATGCAGATTCATTTTGCGCTGACATAGAGAAATTTTCCTCTAATAATGAACGGTATTCATACATACAGCTGTAAATTTTAAGTTAAGAGTTGCCGAGAGGAAGTTTCGTGTTTTATTTCCACGAGATATCGCTTAGTCATCAACTTTTGACACATTGAAAAAAAAAAATTGAATCATTTCCGACTAAAATGCTTGCAAACCTTATCAGCAATTTTGCAAACAGCTGTTATATTTTCTGTGGGGAAGTGGCTTTTAATACCTCCCAATTCCAAGAAGTAAAAAATTGGGGATCAAAGCTAGGAGCCTAGGACACATGCATAATGAGAACAGGATAAAATCCACTAGCCAGTGCAACCCCCCCCCCCCCCCACACACACACACACACACATCTTATAAACTTTCTATGTACACACATAAGAGTTACAAGAAAAATATATCGATAAAGCATTTCTTTTTTTATCTCTACTGTTTAAAAGAAAAAAAAAATGAAGAGTTAATTATAAACTGACGTAAGAGTCTCTGTAATTGTTTGTTTGTCTGTAAACATTTTTAAAATTCAAAGATTCTACTTTTAGCGTTTTAATTCCATTTCAATAAAACTAGGTTTACACGAAGTAGAATACGCTCTTTTCTGGATTTGTAATCATTTTCATTTTTTTTTTCTCCGATCTAAAAAAAAAAAACAATCTGGAATGCAAGAGTATACAATTTTGATTTCAATTTTTGATTATGACAGTCACATCATGATTTCTGGAATTCAATATTTCTATGAAATTCTTTCAAGACGCCGCTTCTTAATTTTGTCCATAACAACGGGATTTTTTTTCAGAAATAACAACGAGGACATGGTAACCTGATTTATCAAATACTGCAGTCCTAAATATTACACTGCACAAGCTTTAAGATTTAAATAACAATATCTGCATGTTTGTACAAGACACTTGTGTTATATGCACAAATTGAATGATAAAAATTCAAGTACAAAAGATTCAAAAGAAAGTTGATCAGTTGTTAACAGGAAAAAATTAAGCATGACTAGCTTTTTTTGTGTGAGGGAAGAAAGACTAGCTTTTTTGTGTGAGAGTGAACAATTGTGCTGTTTGATAATGATTTTTTTCCTGAGAGTCAGTTTTCAATTTTCGTGGAAGCTCGATCATGGTTTTTTCCTCAAGCCCAAAAAAGATTTTTTGCGTGTTTTTGAGGGTGAACAATTGTGGGGCTGTTTGATAATGAATTTTTTTCCGGAACTTCACTTGAATTTAATTTCTGTGGAACCTTTAGTTTACGAGGCTTGGGTGTGGTTTTCTTATTTAGGTTTGGCCAGCTGCAGGACCCTTTGTCTGTCTGTCTCTCTAGCTGTCTGTCTGCCTGGAAAGGTTATAGTTTTTTAGTTTTTCCTAATCCTTTTCGGTTAATTTGAACTTGACTTGATTCAAATCGTTGGTATGGAAAATCTAAGTTGGCATACTTAATTGGTCAAGGTTCTTTACAAGGAGAAATAATCAATCAAGTTAAGAGGAAACTTCTATTTAGGTTATCTATATAATTTCCTTACGGAATAAAACAAAAAAAATTTCAATTATATCTTCTTATATAATGTAAACTCAATAATGTTCAAATAATTCAGTGTTGATCAAATCTTAAAGTATACAGTTAATTTTATAAGGAGAAGAAGATATAAGGAGGCATAAAGGCCCTAAAAGCTAGGGATTAAAAAATATATTTATTGGGATGGTCCACAACACGGGTTGAATATTTTTGCATAAAAGTGTTTGTGATGTGTTTTTTAAAAGAGCGACAAAATTTGAATTTTTAAAGTTTGATTTGTGAGCATCTTTATGTAATGTAAATTGATACCGGAGAGAGTCACCAATTTTTTGTAGTAGGGGGCGTTGCCAAATGAATAAAGATAATAAAAAAAAATACACCGTACATAGGAAAATAATCGATACAGTGGGCTACCTTAAAATAAATATTGGTTTGCTTTTATCCGACTCAGGATGGAAAAATTGAGTCAGTAGGTAGGTGAGAATTTTTTCAAAAAACCCAGCATAAATGTTTTTTTTGGTTCAAAATCTGTTTTACGGAAAGCATAAAAAATGACTTCATAAAGGTTAAAAAAAGTTGTAAGTCGGGCCATTTTAAGCTAGTCGGTATATAGGGAAAGGGAAGCATAATGGCATAAGTATAAAATTTATATAATTTTTATGCACTGATAAACTGTACAACCAGTTGCTGAAAGTAGGTTTTAAAGATGGGACAGACTGACAGACAGACAGATGGACAGCTAGATGGACGGGCGGACGGACAGACATGGTATGCGTAATAGACTTATACTGCCCGAGTTTTCAACGACTCGAATTATGATCTTTTTGTACTAACAAATCATATATGACGTCACCGACTTCTTAATTGGACGCTCAGTGTACAGACAGAGGTAGGCCTAGTTGATCAGTCTGTTGATCAATCTATTTCATAATTTGTGAATATTAGAACCTTCAATATTTTTTCAAATACGATGGAAAAGTGAAAATGGTTGTCAAAAATTTATACATTTACTGACATGTGTTAAATCAGCTTTTGCACAAGGAGCTACACTATATGACGTAGTTAAACTGAGTCATGTGATCATTTGTCTTTCATCCCCCCGTCGAGGCCTCATCTAGAGAGAAGTTTGTGAGCAATCGAAGTTTGTTTCATCCCTTTGATTGTTTGCTTGCATCTGTTCTACTGTTGAGCTGAGCCCCCTGTAAATGTGATGAAATTATTGCTCGGAAAATCAATTTATCAGCAGACATATCGCATGCATACAAGACTTGTTTAAATTAACAAGTTGCAACTGCTTTCTTTATGCATAATTTCATATTGACTAAGAATTCACACCAATCTAAATCATGTTTTTTCAGGAATATGGGACTTCGTTTAATTAACAGATGCAGAATAAGATACAGAAGATACTTGACGATTTTCTTTGGAATTCTCATCGTAGTCTGGGTACATGTTACTTTTAATGAGGAAGTAGAGTTCATTTATAATAACGAGAATATCGACAAGAAATGTGAATTACCGAACTTATCCGCGCATGACAAATCCATCACAAAATTTTTATATCATCTTAGACCGGTTCAGTGTGAACAAACGTCGGATCTTTCTTTTGTAGATTCTGATGGTTTTCTAAGATTAAACAAAAGTGCTATTTCAGAATCTGGATATGGTGTTTTATCATGCACCTATTCTATAATAAAGCGTTTATTGGACTTTGATGTTGAAAGCGAACCGGAAGTGACGTTTACAAATTTTGTGTATGTTAAAGCTGATTTTTTCATTGTGAAGTGTAAAAATGAAAGGAAGTCTTCAGTGTATAGAAAATTACACCACAACATTGATTATAAGTCGCGAATGCAGCAGTTCAATTTCCTTAATGCATCTGAAGAACAATTGAACGTGTATATATTTGGCTTGGATTCTTTGTCAAGATTAGCTGCAGAAAGAACTATTCCAATCACGCTTCGTTATGTGGAAGAAGAGTTAGGAGGTTACATAATGAAAGGCTATACAAAAGTTGGAGCCAACACATTTCCAAATTTGGTTAGTCTACTAACAGGAAAAGTTCCTTTTTCAAAAGAGTTACCTCCATATGCGGAATTTTTAGATCCGTTTCCGTTTTTATGGAAAAACTTTAGTGAAGCTGGCTATACGACGTTCTTTGCTGAAGATCTACCAGAAATGGGAACTTTTACATATTGGAAAGGTTTCAAAGAGCAACCTTGTCTACATTATATGAGACCATTTTACGTATCACTGGACAAATTTAGCTTGCCAAATACTAAACGAGCACTGCTTTCATTAGAAAACAACAATATTCATCTTGGCAAAACATCGGCTCTGTGTGTGGAAAATATTCCAAAGCATATGATGTTAATGAATTATTTTCGGCAATTTATCCAATTTTATGGAAATCAACGGAAATTTGCCTTGAGTTGGATGAATGAACTCACGCACCAATGGGATAATCTTGTTCAATTAGCTGATAAAGACTTCATGTTGTTTTTTAAATGGTTGAAAGATTCGGGCAGACTTTTCAATTCTATACTGTTGTTCATGAGTGACCATGGTATAATGCAAAAAAGCATAAAAAATACCCTCGCGGGGAGAACAGAGAACCGAATGCCTATGTTCGCCATTGTAATACCACCACATATGAAATCAAAATATCCTCATATTCACCAAAATTTGAAAATAAATACTCAACGATTGACAACTGCATTTGATGCTCATCAAACATTGGTAGATGTTTTAGAAAGCAACTTTTTACGGAGTAAATCACATGTGGATAAACTCAAAAAGCTTCCACGCGGAATAAGTTTGTTTCAAGAAATTCCAGATAGTCGATCTTGTAAAGATGCAGAAATTCCTGGTGATTTTTGTGTTTGTAATTCATACGAACCAATCAACAATAACGAAAAAGTTTCGAAAGACTTAGCTAGTTTCGTAGTTTCTTACATTAACCAAAAATTAACAAAACATGGAGGAAAATGTGCGAAACTACATTTATTAAGGATAAAAGATACTTATTTTGTAAAAACAAATTTACAAAGACACAAAGAAAGGGAAGAATTTTCATTACGAAATTTATTTTTCCAACCAGATCAGGAAGAAAAAACTTACCTGAGTGTTTTTGAGACGGTCCCCGGAAATGCATTATTTGACGCGACAGTCAGCAAAGACTACAAAGGATCTTTTAATATCATTGGTCGAGTAAATCGAGTCAACGAATATGGTAACCAATCGTCTTGCATAAGCGATAAGTTTTCTAAACCTCTATGTTACTGCAGCTGATTAGTTGTAATGAAATGAATGGGTAATTTTGTGATTGATTCTGATTTCTTCTTGTGTGTAAGTACACATGTATGTTTAAGGCAATTATTGCAAAATGCATATCATGAATAGCTCCAGTCCATAATTTTTTTTATACATGCCATTCAATAATTCTATCTCAGGGAGACGTTTGTATAAAAACGATGATTAAAATGTGTTCTTTTTCAATTAAAATGCGATGTGGTTTTCAGTGAACTTGACGGACGACTGGTTGTTTAATGTTTATATGCGATGGACTCATTTAAAGTAATTTGAAACTTCAAAGTACCTTTAAGTCAGTTCTCCCAGAAAACATTCTTTTACAATAAAGTCCTCTTCTGTAACTCTGCTCCTATCAATTAATAAATTTAACATACAGTATACTCTTTATGTCCTTGAATCATCTTGAAACATCGTAAATGAAATGAAACAGAAATGTTTATTAACAGTTCAAAATAAATGATTTAGCTAGAGCAATGACCAGGACTTTGCAGAATGATTTTGATTCAGGGTTATGATACTTGTATATTTTCAGTTTTCGTCTACTCAACTTTTAATTTATTTAAAAGGATCTGAACCTATAATTTGGATACATTTTCAAAATATAGAATTTGAAGTGAAATAAACACTTAAGATAGTACCTTACTTGTTTAGTTACGACAAATCTTCGCTTTATCTGGCAAGCATATCTTGTTTCTCCATCAGGAACAGCATACTTAGATTTTAATCATCAGGCAGACGTATCGAGGGGAGGGGCACCCCCTTCGCTACTTATTTTCCGAACGTAACCATTTACTGTTGAAAATGCTCGTTGAAAATAATGTCCTAGTTTTTTGTTGCAATATACCCTGGTAGCCAAATTTTCAAATCGTCCCATGGTTATGTATGTATGAAACTCCCCTCCCTTTTTCATTTGTTTGTCAAAGATTTTAAGGTAGGTTGGCACCCCCCACCCCACCTCCCTCCTTCAGAAAAAAACTATTATAATACTACGTGCCTGATTATTTTTTATACAAGCTCTGAACCATGCATAGTATGATTTCAATATATCGCAGCTGTCTGCTGAAAGCCACTTTAGTATATTACGAACAACTACAATGTACAAACTAAAGATTGATTTCACTCCCAACTGTGCATGACCTTAACCGTTATAATTATACTAAATACAAGTTGTTTTTGCATAAATTTACAAACTGAACAAAATACTTGTAAATACAAGATGTATGAATTCACACAAATTGAACAGAATTAAAAAAAAATGATGATTAAAAATCTGTTTCTTTGCAATGATATCGAAAGTTGTATCGAATAAAAAGATTTACTGATAAAACATATACTTTGAATAAATCTTGAGGCATAGTACTCTGAAAAGATAATATAAAGTCTTGTAGGTTCTCAGGCAATCCAAGTTATCTTGATTTATTGAATTTTTCTATTTACATCGATGGCAAACTAGTCGAAATGTTGCAACAAATTTATACCAATGCATATCATGCTGCGGCATATATCCCGTTTTTTCCTTTCGGAAAGGCTCTTGAGTTATCAGATGGTGAGTGCTAGGCAGTCGGTTTTTAAATCAAATTAATTCTTTCTCAGCCAGAAATCAAAGTAGACATTCACCCAAAATGGCAACGGGCTGCACAACTAAGTATCATAAATCTTAGATTATTTATTCAAAATTTTCAGATTCTTTTTTTCGAAATCAGATACTTTATCGAAACCGATTATTTACCCTCTTTGTTAAAAAATGTTTCATAGCGTACCTGCTCGTAGAAGTAAAATTCATCGGTAAAAAAATAAACAGCAAACATGCATTTTTCGAAATATGAGTCAAAATTTCTTAAGAGTTGTAGAATAACCTATTTGAGTATAATGTGCTATATGCGTTTACAATTATCTTTGAAACTTGTTCTATTTTCATATAATAAAATTTATACGACATACGTGTAATATTGAGAATGAAGAGGCTTCGTTAATGAATATTGTTTCTCAAATCCAGAGCACTGCTTTTTCTGAAGTACATGTATGGGACTTCATTTTATTTTTACTGAAAATTCGCAAATTAAGCTTGAAAGTCCATGGAAGTAATACAAATTTGGAGTAGAGCAAAACTGATTCTATAAAAAAATTCAGAGGTGGATCAGGTGCTATGATGGTACAAACGTTTTCTGTCGATCTATCACACCGTGACGGTAACTCAGACAGAGCACTCGCTCCGTGATCGGAACAGACAAGTTAAATGCAAATTCTCTTGATTTTAACCCCTTGCATACACTAAATTTGTAAACAAAACCAATGGTTATATTTTAAATATATAAAGGGTTAAAAAATTAAGTGAATTTGTCGCATTTAGCTTGGAAGGTTGCGGGTTCAAACCACGACCGCCATTGACCTAAGTCGAATAAAATAAGCTGCAGCTGTTCTTTCGCCAAATACACGGCGTTTCGGGGTTATAGGATGTGAGCTTAAGAAACTGATGGCCCGTGTCAAATTAGTGATGATGCACAAAAGAATGTTTACTACAAGTGCCGAGTATAGCCTTTGGAGGGTATATGGTGACGTCTCTTTGTGAGTGAAAAAAATTCTCAAACGGGACGTGAAGCAACATACGATCAATCTTTCTACCTTCCAAACCCGACATTTGCTCCTTGTATGATTATCGGACAAAGAAGAAAAATCAGTAGAAAACTCAGTGTGATAATAATAGCCTAATAATTTGTTTGAAAAAAAAAAGTCAGACAATTATTTAAAATTCGATTTAATGATTGATTGTATAATTTCTGACAAAGTCAATATATCGACCAAATAATTTGCTAAATGTTGACTTTGAACAAGCTTAATTATTAATAAATTTGTTTATCTACAAATTTGTCAATAACTTCCTCCTTTTTTCTAGCAAATTATTCGTGATATCACCAATTCGAATAGGTGATATCACCTATTCGAGTTCCTACAACAATAGATAATGAATGCTCCCTAGACTGTATAGATTACCACTGGAACCAAGAAAATTCGGACGACGTACCCTAACAAAAAAAAAATACTGTAGTAGACTATAGTTAACTATAGTTTACTATAGTAAATCAAAGTTCCAAAGTTTTCACCATAGTAAATCAAAGTTCCAAAGTATTTACTGTAGTAAATCAAAGTTCCAAAGTTTTCACCACAGTAAATCAAAGTTCCAAAGTTTTCACCATAGTAAATCAAAGTTCCAAAGTTATAACTTTGGTACTATAGTTAACTATAGTTTACTATAGTATTCTTTTTTTAGAGTATACCCAGCTTTCATGCGTTTTTCACGATTTTTCTTATTATATACATGATAATTAGTGAAATAAATTAATTTGTGAGCAAAGCAAATCAGATTGAATGCAAAACTGAAATCCATTGTCTCCTAGAACAAATGAGTTATAAAACAAAAGTGAAAGTAAATAAGATTTATGATAAAAAGGAGGCTCCCATTCTCTATCCACCTTGGCTTGAATAAACGTCTCTCCCAAGACAGAAGATTTGGGTTTCGATATTCGCCATGCTCATTTTTTAAGAAAGGATATTCTTATCCACCCATTCTGTTGCCGAGATTTGACAATTTCTGACAAATGAACTGTTCTTTTTATAAAAATCAACTTGCATGGAAAGAAATGTAAATCTCAGAAAAACCTTTCAGTTTTTGTGACAGAACGCTGCGGAGGGTCACGTGACCGACTATATCACGTGATTCGCGCATGAGCAGAAAGATGGCAGATGTGCATTAAAATTAGAGAGGACTAATTTAAAATATAATCAACACTGAAACCAAATATTGTTTCTTTTATGGAAGTTATTCAATTAGTTCGCGAACTTTTTTGATCACCCCTCGTATAGTCTTGGGAGACGTTATTTCATAAATAATTTGAAAAAGGCGATATCACCTATTCGAATAAGTGATATCATCTGTTCAAAATGATATGGTGATATCACCAATTCGAATAGGTGATATCACCTTTTCGAATAAGTGATATCACTTATTTAATTTGAATAGTTGATATCACTTATTCGAATAACTGATATCAACAGTTCGAAAGGAATAGGTGATATCACCTATTCGAATAAGTGTTATCACCTTTTTAAATAGGTGATATCACCAATTCAAATCAAATAGGTAATATCACCTATTCGAATGTGTGATATCATCAACTGAAAACGTGATATCATCTATTCAAATAGGTGATATCACTTTTGACAGTAAATACTAAAACAGCGCCTCATAATTTCCGATGACTTCTGCATGGAAGTGATATACATGTATAATTTTGATCCAACGAGTTGTGTGCTTTTCTTATTCACTAGCCTTCGGCGAGATCATCTAGAGGATATATAAACACTACAAGTTGGATAAAAATCATATTTTCCAACCACAAATCATGAGAGATTCTTTTTTTTATCCGATGTTTTACACTATTGTTATATATAGGTAAGAATAAACTTATTTTACTCATCACAAAAGTGGGATATAAAAAAAACCATTGAGTGATATTGACGGGATAAAAGGGTAAACATTGAATAAATATCGTTTTTTGTATATTTAATAAAACGTCATCGATATATTTAAATGTTGAATTAAATGTTTTTTTTAATTTCATGTAGAAGTTGTAGTGATATACATAGAAAAAGATTGTTGTACTTTTAAATCTCTTAAAACCACATAAATAATGTCAATCAAAAATCGAGCATATTTTTTTTATTTCAACTTCGAAAAAATTGGGTATACAGTCAGATTTTTTTTAAAACAAAATTTTGCAAATGACCAATCACATGGCAAAAGTCAAATATTTGAAGCGACTGAGGCATTGATAAACAGATAAAATTGTTTTTTTTTCTTGCAATTGGATATCTTATTCATACTTTCAGTTAGTTTGTTTTGCTTTACTTTAATGTTAAGGAACAATAATTTATTTCAATTGTGTTATTCATACATCCGTTTCCGCCATCTTACACAAAACACTCTTACTGAAAAATTCCTACGTGAACCAAATTCTCCTTACTGTGCAGTGTTTAGAGCCTCCTTAAGAATCAAGTTAAAGTAATTCATAATCTAACGACGGACGAAAACAGATAGCATATACGAGGGCTGTTCAATAAATAATGTCCTGAACTATATGACATACATTACAGATATCGTATGACATTAAACTTGACTTTCTCTCATTATCAAATCTTTCATGAATTTATAACAGTTTTTATTATACCTCTACTGATTTTTCCCTATATAAAATTAAGTGATTAGATCTGAACAATTCCCTAGAAATCGCTGTTACTAATCGCCGTGCAGCTAATCCCTCGGTCGAAAGCTAGTCATGCTAATTCGCGGTTATAGCTTATCATTGTGACGTCATAATAGAGAGACGCAAAAACGCAATGCTTGGTGACGTATTTCATATAACAAAACGCAACAAAATAAGACGTAAACAACAAACACAATGCACTGATTGCATTAGAATTAGAGAATAACTGGTACATGTATTGCGACGAATAATGATTAGTTAATCTGTTAATGAATATTTGTTTTTAAAAGTTGATCTTTACAATTTAAATTTGTATCGGTATAATAAAACAGTTATAGTATATCATTGACGGAGTTAGCAAGATTCCAGTTCCCCTCGACCAAGACTATTTCCCTCGGCGCGCTGCGCCTCGGGAAATAGTCCTGGTCTTGGGAAACTGGAATCTTGCTAACTCCGTCAATGATATACTTTAACTGTATAATGTGACCACTTTTCATCACATAGTTTCATCGTGAGAAGCTGGGAAACAAGGGCTTTTCGAGACACTGCATTATAAATGAATGGTAAAGATTCAGTAAACTAAATTGAAAATAAAAGCTTCATTAAAGCTGCCGTAAAACTTGTTAAAAATTCCAAAGAAATATTTACTGAAATATGTGACATTTACAGCAACCAATGCCTGTTTTACAGACAAAAGAGC